CCACCCCTCCCCCTCTCTCCCCACCCCACCACACTTTCTTATCTGGTGTCTCCCTCTCTCCATCCAGTCATCTAATGAAGAGTTCTTTGTCCTTCAAAGGTGTCAACATCTGTAATTTATGTCCCAGGCACTGGGGAAACTTGAGGGCCATAGCAAGAAGTCCAGGTCCAACCTGCAGTTCCCTGTGGAGACCGTCAGGCACTCACAGGTAGCAGGATTATAAATCAGACTGCAACGTGAGCTTTCAAAGTCAGGACTAGGAAATATAAGTTGGACTAGACTGTCGGCCATAATAAAACACAAAGTGAGTACATGCTGGCCTCTCTGTCCCCCATAGTCACTATTATTGGGCCTCAGGGTTAGCTTTGAGCTTCCTGGTAGCCACAGATAAAAGGGAAACAAGATCAGGCACCCAGGTACCTACCTCATTGTCCATGGTCAGAAGCACAAGGCTGTCCAGACTCCTGCAGGGATGGCCGTTCCCTCCTGGGGCTTTCTTCAGGGGCCTGCTGGGTGTCAGGGCGATGCCTGGGCACTCTCACTGCCTCTTGCTGGGCTGTGGCCCCAGGGTCACTCAGACAGGACTGGAGGATTCGGGTCACGGGGAGCAGGGACCCAGTCCCACTCGGGGCTAAGCTTGAGGAGCTGAGGGCCTTGACAGTCTCTGGGGAAACTGCAGGGCTCTTGCCAGGCTCGGTTTTAGTTTTTGTAACTTGAAAAAATGGAGGCATGATTTGCATATGGCTGATGCACTGGGTGTGCGGTTCTGGGATTTGACCAACGTGTGTGATCGTGTAACCATGACCGCAGTGCCACCATCCCCTGGTTCCCTCCGGTCAGCCCAGAGCCTGTGACCCCTGGGCTGTACCCTGTCCCTGTGGTTTTGCCTTTTGCAGGATGTCATCTGAACGGAACCCCACGGGAGGGGCTGGCAGGGCTGTGGGGAGGGTGAGCTGTGCTTGCGTGTGTGTGCGTGTGTGTGTGTGTGTGTAAGTGTGCGTGTGTGTCTGTGCGGGCACACGGATGTCTGTGTGTGGGGTGTGCCTGCGAGGAGGCCGTGGGCCCGAGGGCTTGATGCTTCCCTGCGCGGGGCTCTCCCGTGTCGTGCCCCTCCTCGTGTGCTGGTGGGCACCGCCTCTGCCGCCTGACTTCGTGCTGCCGCCAGGGATGATCTCCCTTGTGGGTTTTTTGAGGGGGCAGGTAATTAGGTTAACTAATCAATTAATTAACTACTGGGGGGCCCGGGGATTGAACCCAGGACCCGGGGCAGGCTAAGCGCACGCTCCACCCTGAGCTCGCCCTGCCCTCCGTGAGCTCCCTTGGGAGTCAACAGCTGATGCTCCTCTGCTGACAATTAGCCCTTCCCGCCTTGTTTCCGGGTGGTTTGTCACCCCCGCCCCCCCCGGGGTCACGGCCCCCTCACCCCTGGGCACTGCTGAGAGTGAGGCTCGGAGCGCGGACCCCGCGGGGGGCGCATCTGAAGGTTCTGCTGCCCTTGGAGTGTGGACCCCCGGGCCGGATGCGGGCGGGTGGGCCGGGTCCCCCAGTCCTCCGTCCCGGCTCCGGGCACAAGGCCTTCGACTGTCCTGGCAATGCACGGTAATCAGGCCTGCCTGGGGGGGGCAGGTGCAGTGGGGGCTTTTTAATTCACTTCAGTTACAGTTCTGCGTGGCTGTCCCACGCAGGCAGTCAGCCGCCCCCGGCAGCCCCTGATGTCCCGGCCATGGACTCTGCGGAACATTCCAGCACCTCTGCCAGCTGGGGGAGTCCAGGACCGAGGCTGTCTCTGCTCTGAAGCAGCAGACAGCTCCCCCACAATGTGCCATGGAGGTGGCCGTGTGGCGATAGTGAGGGGGACGCAGGCCTCGCAGAGCGCAGCTGGGGCCACGGGCTGGCCAGCGGCCTCCCCGCTGATTATTACAGTTGTCAAAACGCTGGGCCTTTGAGGGGCTTCTCTGTCCACCCCTTGTCTGGGTGGGGGGAACTCTGGCACCCTGGGACAGGGCTAGGGGCAGGGAACTCACTCCAGGACTAGGCCTGGCAGAGCGGGCCCCTCTTGGGTCACCTGGGCCCGGATCCAGGTGTGCGGGCGGTGGTGCCTCGGGGTGCACTGGTGGGGGGTCTGCTGGTCTCCTTGGAGATCAGTCTTGGCTCCGTCACCAGGAGGCAGCTGGTGACGTCTTCTCTCCTGCACACGGAGGGCGTCCCTGAGCCCCTGCCTGTCCCCGGCCGCGCCCCTTCCGCCGTGCGTCTGGCTTCCCTCTGCAGCACCCCGGGGCCGTGGCCCCTGAGAGCCTGCACTCTGGGAGCAGAGCGGCCTGAAACCAGGGGAAAGAACACTGGGGGATTTGGCTTAAACTCATTAAACCCCACGAGCCCTCCTGCCGCGTGATCGCAGCCCGCACCCGGCCTTCTAATCTCGTTCGGGCCTCGGGGTAATTTGTTTAGCTGTGCTGATCAGTTGAAGGTTGATTCAATTGGACTTGGGTTGTTTATTTGTGCCCGAATTTGCTAAGTGTCATTGGAGGTACGTGAGGTCTCCATTACGGCAGCGAGATGGCTTCATTAGGGTGATGGCCACTCCTGCCCCCCCCTCCCCCTCCGCCCTTCTCCAGGCCCCTGGGTCCCCTCCCTCCTAGGGAGGGCATGGTCGCCTGGGGAGCAGGGGTATGGCTCAGTCGCCCCATTCCCCAGTGCAGCTGGCTTGGGGGTGGGCCCTACGCCAAGGGTCTGAAGATCTGACTGCCTACAAAATCTGCTCATCAAATTACCAGTCCCTGGTGAGCGTGGGTGACCTGCTGTCCTGTGCTCACCCCCCTGGGAGGACCCCAAAGGCCTCCACCTCCCTAAGCCTTGGTTTTCTCATCCGCAAGCTGGGAACACTGGTCTTCCCTCCTGCCGTCTCCCGGGGGTGGGCTCATGGGGTGAGCCCTCCCGCCCCCACGACTTGTGCATGTGGACACTGAGGTCGCAGGGAGGGCAGATGGGGTCAGCGCTGGGTCCTCTCTCTGGGCAGCTGGGAGTGAATGATGGATGGCCCTGCGGTGCCGCCCAGGATAAGCGGACCTGGCAGTGTGCCGCTTCCTGCCCTGAGGTCGGATGCCTGGCTGGTTCCACTTCAGAGTCCTGGGTCCTCCTCGCCTGTCCCATGGCCTCGACCCTCCAGGTGGGAGGCCCCATCCCTGCCACGTGTGATGAGGTCACCCTCAGGGCTGCTCTCTGGTCCGCGCATCCCAGCCAGCAGGCTCTCTGGCACCGAGCAGGCGAGCTGGAAGGACAGAAGAGTACTGGGTGGAGCTGGAGGGTCCAGGCTAGGCATCAAGAGAGACAAGTGAGGGGTGGTGTGCTCCCCAAGGAGTCTGGGCTCTGGAGGTGGCCCAGAGGGCTGGAGTGCTGAGAGCTGGGGCAGAAGAAAGTTTGGCAACCATTCACCAGTTGTGACATAGGCACCCAGGTCAGGGCTGGGAGAGGGGGACCAGCGGGGGGCAGAAGGTCCAGCGGCAAAGACCCCGCCCATGTTCCCTGCCCGGGAGCACCCCAGAACTGGCGGGCTTCCCCTTCCACCCCTTCCAGGAGAGGAGCCAGAGCCAGAGCCAGAGCCCGGTCGGCCCCCTGGGCAGCATTTCCTCAGCGGGTACCCTCTGCTCTCAGAGCCCAATGGGCCTCTGTGGCTCCAGCTGATCCCTTAGCTGAACCAGGAAGGATCTGATTCCCGTAGAGGGGAAGCGATGTGTCCGAAGTCCCCCAGTGCATGGGGCAGTGCAGGGACCAAGGTCCAGGGCCACGAGAGGAAGACACTGGGAATGACCCAGGAGCCAAGCTCCCCACTCCCCAGACACCAACTAGTTAACGCCTCAGAGCAACCCTATCACCCCTTCTCACGTGGGAGGCCGTGGAGGCTCAGAGAGGCTAGGTGACTTGTCCGAGGCTGCACAGCTGCTCCATTGCAGAACTGACTGCAGATCCATCTGCTTCTGCCCCCAGCCCTGTCCCTCCCTGTGCAAGACAGGAGTCAGGGCCATTTCGGGGAAGGCTCAGGGGTCCCCCTAAGCTGACCCCAGGAGGAGGAATGCTGTCACTGGGAGGAGTTCTTGGGAACTCCAGTGGTGGGGCCAGGGGAGGAGCAGTCACCAGGGGCGTCTTTGCGCCTGTCACCCTGTGGATGGCTGTGGCTCCCTGCACTGGGTGGCCCTGGGAGCCACCGTGGTGCATCCTCAGAGCCACCCCCCGAGGTATTGGGGGTGTTTCTACACCAACTCCGTCAGGCACTGCTGAACATCTTGTCCTGGACCGTCTCCTCCCATCCCTGGGATGTCTGGTGGTCCCTACGCCACAAGTGGAGAAACTGAGGCTCGGAGAGCCTTGATGGGGTCAGTGCCGAAGTGCCCACGCCAGGAAGCCTTCCCTGCTGGGTCCGGCCCCTCATCGGGTTCCTGAGCTGCCCTGTGTTCCCACTGTCATTGCCTCGATGACCTGACGTGTCCCTCCAGGCTGAGAGGCCCCAGGGCAGGGTGCACTGAATGCCCCCAGCTCCCAGCAAGCCCTGGGCAGTGGGAGAGGGTGTGTTGGGCCGCATAACAAGCCACACAATGACCGTTTCATTACAGTTCCTGGTTTGTGGGTCGAGAATCTGGGCTGGGCTCAGCTGGACGGTTCTTCTGCCCCACGAGGTGTTGACAAGAGGTTGCGTGGGGCACTCATCTGGGGGATGGGCTGGTCTGGAGGGTCCCAGACGGCTTCACTCACCTACCTGGCGCCTCGGCAGGGATGGCTAGAAGGCTGGGCTCAGGCAGGACGGTCACTGGGGTTCCCACCTGTGGCCTCTCCGGGGTAGTGGACTGCATACATGACAGGCCAGGGCTCCCAGACCCAGTGTCCCAAAAGGCAGGGGGTGGAGGCGGGCCCGGAAGCCAGCAGCACAGTGCCCAGCCCCTGCTCTCTCTATCTGTTAATTCATGTGCGTGTTAATAAAATGCACGTCGCACAATAGTTACATTCGACCATTTGCGTCAGTCCAGCGTCACTGAATTCACTTACAGCGTTGCGTGACCATCGTCATCTATACCGGAAACGTCTTCATCGCCTGCAACAAAACCCTGTCCCCGTTAAGCATGCACCCTCCTGCTTTCTGTCTATGAATCTGACCCCTCTGGGGACCTCACGTGAACGGAGCCCTGCAGTACGTGTCCTCTGTGTGTGACTGACTTCGCTGAGCACCGTGTCCTCAAGGTCCATCCACGCTGTAGCGGGTGTCAGAGTTCCCTGTGTCTTTATGGCTGAACTGTATCCCACTGTGTGGATGGACCCACTTCAGCGTCCGTTCGTCCTTTGGTGGTCACTGGGGGTCTTTCCACCTTCTGGTGGCAGTGAGTAACGCTGCTATGACCACGGGTGTACAGACTCTGTCTGAGCCCCTTACACCCTTGATGAGCAGTCCCGGGGCCTGGAGCCCGGAGCCCGGAGCCCAGGGCAGTGGGCACAGGAAGAGGGCAAGAGCTGGCAGCATCCTTAGCCCACCACGCCGTGCGGTGTAGAGAGAGGTCTGCTGGCAACCTCGGGCCACAAAGCAAATCAGGAGGCAGCTGCAGATCAGGTGGCGGAGGAAAGGGGAGATGGGGGCCCTGGTGTCCGGGGATGTAGGAGAAGCCAGACTGGGTCTGGGAGGACGGGTGGAGGCTTCTGGAGGGGTGGGGCCCGAGGTCCTCAGCCTGGCGGAGGTGTGAGCCTGGGCTCCACTGCCCAGGAGCTGTGTGACCTGAACCATCAAACGTCCTCCCTAGGAAGATGGGAGCAGATAACCGGCCGCCCTTGCAGGATGCTGAGGGGATTCAGTGGGGAACTTTGTGCAAACCTCTAGCCTGGTTCATAGTCAACCAGGCGGTCACGGGTGTTGAGAAGGACGAGAGACTCTCCTCTGCGGTCCCCAGGTCACACCTGCTGGGCTGGGGAGAGTGGGGGCGGGCTTCCCAGAAGGCCATGCCGGTGCAGGGCCAGGGCTTGGCGTTTGGTGAGTCTGAGTCAGACCTCTTGGGGAGGCCGGCCGCATTGTCACCGTTGGGAGCTCTGGGGTGAGCTGGGGGCTGACTGGGTGGTTCCCACTGCTCCAGCAGGGCCCACCCACCCGCGGCAGCGTCCCGGGGCCGCCCTCTTGAGGCCGGCCCAGGGTGCTGCCTTCCGAAGCCATGACCGGGGCAGGGACGTCTAGGGGCAGCCTTCCAGGGGGGGCCCCTCAGGTCAGCCTTGGGAACGTGTGCCATCACTCTCGCTGCAGCCCAGCGGTCGAAGCGCGCCCTGGGCTTGGCCCAGACCTAAGGGAGGGAAAGCACACTGCCTCCTGGGCAGGGAGAACCGCTGTGGCCAGGTCTGCAGGCTGGTGCCCCAGAGGCCCGGCCAGCCGGTGTGCAGCAGGCTGGGCATGAGGCCCCACCCCCAGGAGGGCGAGCGCGGGAGCCGCTGACTCTGCGGGCCTGAGAACACAGCGCCGGGAGCACCCAGTAGGCGCTCGGTGTGTGCTTGTCACCGGATGTGTGAGGAGTGAAGGAGCCAACCAGGCTGGACCTCAGGCGCGTCCGGACTCCCTGCTGGGCCGCACATCGTGCGGGGCTGCAGGCCCAGCGGCGGCAGCGGGCGCCCTGCGGCACCTGTCTGGGCATGAGACCTCTGCCTGTCGCTCCCACCCACATTCCTGCCCGCCTCCCGCCTCCCTTTCCTTGCACATCAGCCAAACTCCGACTCCCCCAAGGCTGCCTCATCAAACATTCCTTCCTCCTCATCACCATAATTTCCCGTTTGTAGGTTAAGCTGCGCCTGGGGTTCTCAGAAATTCGCTCGCTGCCTCGCAACTTGCCGACTTCTCAAATGTCTCGTCCTCTCCCGCCTCTTTCCTTCTGGAGAAGGAAGCTGGCCGTGGCGGGAGCGGGGAAGGCTGGCGGCTCCCCACTGCAGTCTGTAGGGCTTCGTCTGGAAAGACGCAGCCTGATCCAGCTGTCTGTCCGTCTGTCCATCCTCTCCAGACACCGTGGACTAGAGAGATGAGTTGGGATCAACTGACATTTTCCAGCGTTTTCCGCCTGCCAGGTGCTCTCAGCGTGCTGCAGGGACGTAACTTGTTGAATGCTGAGGACGCACACCCCCTGTGCTCCCCATTTTGTCCCCAGAGAACCCAGGCTCAGGCAGGCGTGTGGCCTGCTCCAGGTCACCTGGATAGCGATGAGCGCAGGGGGACTGGAGCCCGGCCTCTGGGACTGCGGTGTGTTTGGGAAGGGACGCATCCACAGCACACGGCGGCTTGCGGGATGGGCCCCGGCAGAGGGCACAGCGCCGGCCGAGCAGGAGGTCGGGTGGCTGGGGCTCGCTGAGTGCCTCTGCGTGCACGTGCCGGGGAGCGAAGCCCTGGGCTGCCTCTGGGTCCAGCTTGCCTGAGCCCCGCTGGCCTCGGGGAGGTGGGGGGTGGGCTCTGCTCACCTGGCAGACACGACGATGCAGCAAAGTGCCGAGAGAGAGGTGCATCTCTCTGTCCGGCCAGCTGCAGGTGGAGGCGAGGACGGAGCCCTGTGGAGCTCAGGACTGAAGCTGGCGCCCAGCCAGACTGGGGACCTTGGGACCTTGGGAAGCTGTCACCCAGCAGGGCGGCCAGAGGCCCCCCTGGAGAGAAGGCCTGCGGGCTGCAGACCCCAAGCCCAGAAGCACTTCTGCTGCTATTCCCAGGTTCCCTGCCTTTCTGAGCCGGGACTGAGGGCTCCAGCCAACAAGGGGCCAGAGCCCCAGGCCAAGGGTGCTGCTCCCTCCTCCCCCCTCCTCCTCCCTCCTCCCTCTGTCCCTCCTCCCCCCCTCCATCCCTCCTCCCTCCATT